CTAACCATTTCCACCATTTGTAAAAATAGGCCATTATTCTCAACATTTAGTCTCTCATCATCACCTCGAAATGGCAAGGTATTTTTGGCGAGTGTTTTAACAATAGCGATTATCCTTGTTAATACATGCCTCCAATGTTCTCTTTCTGCATCGATCAACAATTCAACACTTTTATCAATTGTAGTTTTTGTTCGAAGCCTATTTTTCAATTCAATCCAGTCAGTCATGCAACATAAATGGTCTTCATTTCCTTCATGACTTTTAATAGACCGATGCAAATTATGCCAATCTTTGAATCCATCATTACCTAGTTGGCCAACTTTGGTCACATTTTTGGGTGTTTTAAATAGCTTGCAACAAAAGCAGAAGATCCTGTCCATAGATATTGAATATATTAGCCATCTTCTATCAATTGTTTGCCCATTTCGTAGCAGTCGCTTATATTGTGAAGAATCGAAATGTCTATTTGTACAATCTTTTGGAAATGAGATGTTATCAACTCTTTTTGGACCCCTTTCAACCAAGTAATCTCTTGTTTTCTGATCAATGATTTTCCAATTTCCGGGATCATCCAAATTTAGAGAAAATAAACCCTCTTCTTCCTTATCATCTTCTTCATTATTAGAGGTCGGTTTCATCACTTCTTCTTCTTTATCATCTACTTCATTAACATAGTCAGGTTGACTCACTTCTTCATCCGTACTATCTACTTCATTAACATAGTCAGGTTGACTCACTTCTTCATCCGTACTATCTACTTCATTAACATGGGCAGGTTGAATGTCTACTTCATCCTCATTCAACGCATTCACATTGTTGCTTTTGAAGTACTTGTTAATATCCCCTATTTGACTTTGAATCAATGCAATTTCATTTCGTTTCCTTTTCCTCTTTTGAGCACCAGACTCATATTTAGGAGGCATAGTGTATGAGTCTGTATCTAATGTCCAATAATTATCCTAAAAAACCATTACAAAATATTTCAATCATCACACAATTACAATTTCCAATACAATTACTATGTGCGCCTGTGCAATTGTTTATCCCACAATAACCAATCATATAAGCCGACCAAGCTGCAATTATATAAGCCGACAAAGCTTCAAACATTTTCAATATCTTTAATAACAAGTTAGGGCAAGCCATTGCTTACCTGAGAAGTGAAATTTTGACGATAATTGTGGAATTACACCGTTGAGTATGATCTCGTCACAACTCACAAGCCTGAAACAAAAATTTATATAAAATTATATATGATGTCTAAGATTGCCAAGCCTAAGATCTAGTGATGAGGGAATTAAGAATATTTAAGAGTAGCAAACCTTGATTTTATTGTTCGGTTTTAGTTAGTTGTTCTCGATAATTAGTTAATATTTGACGTTTGAATACATAAGACTCTTATAACCATCACATTCAAAATTACAATCCTTACAAACTTGCTAAAAAGTTAATTTGTTTAATGAAATATGGTGGCAGAGCCACTTCGGGTTAAGCACCGTTTCTATCAACTAAAAATAATTTTGCAATATTAATGGAATATTGAGGGCCAAAATGTTCTATTTCAAAAGTTGGGGACTAACTCTCTATTTACATATATAAACTCTACCATGCAGCATATTACTTTACAGAAGATGGCAAGCTCTTTATGTATTATTGCAACAGCTTCTTTACAGAAGATGGCAAGCTCTTTATGTATGTTTTCTGTTCTTTCAGTAATCAAGATATATCATTTTTAAAATCCTTATTGCACCTTCCCAACAATTACCTTTTAACAGATCCTTCATCATGTATGATCTATTTGTTTAAATAAAATAATAGGACAGGGCAAAGAAAGAAATTGTAATAAAAAAAAGGAAAACCCAAAGAGGTCCGACTTCGGAAAAAAAGAGGTTCGACTTTGGATTTGTGCGCTAGAATAATATACAAACAAATTAATTGTGGCTAATGATTATATGCATACACTATGCTATTAAATTGATAATATTATCACTTATGCCTCTTATATATAATTGGTTGACAGAAAATTTCTAGAATTTTGAATTTTAAAAGACACTTGCTCATGACACGACCATGCATAGAGGCTAGAGCAAATTTGTTTGACTTTCAATTGTCCCTCAAATGAATGAACCGAACCACAAAGGAAAGCAGAGACATAAAAAAAGCCAGAAAAGTTCTGCCTTATTTATTTTCCCAGCCCAATTCACCTGTGCTATCTGTGAAATTAAAATCCGATGAAGATGAAAAATCATACAACTTATTCACAAATCCCAAAACATTCGAAGTTTCAAACTACTGGCAAGAAACTGAGAAGGTAGCAGGCAAGAATCACAAATGAAAAATCATACAACTTATTCACAAATCCCAAAACATTCGAAGTTTCAAACTGCTGGCAAGAAACTGAGAAGGTAGCAGTAGCACAGCCGCACAGGTTAAAGTAAGAGAGCGAACCTTGTGCCAGGAATCACCCTAGTCGGCAGTCACCTGACTCACCTCCGTTGGATTTGCTCGAGATTTATCAGAAGATTTATTTGCACCACTTCGTGAATGCCTGAACGGTGAACCAGAGGCCAAGATTGAAGATCCAGCGGGTTGAACTTTGAAGCTATTTTGAGTTAGGGCTTGGGGAATGGGGCTGCTGTATATGATCTCGTTTTTCAATTTAAACTGGTCTTTTTTTTTCTTTAAAAAAAAATTAATTGGACCAAAACGAGGCCCCCTATGGTCCTGGGCCTGAGGCGCGGGCCTCACTCGCCTCAGCCCAGGACCGGCCCTGGCAAGAATAGCTCATACTTCATAAAAACAATTCAGAAAGAACTATGGACTAGAAACAGAGATGAAACATTCAATCCCAATTTAGTGAGAAAAGCTTATAAACAATAACAGAGAAAAATAGCGTACAGCTTGCTTTGAGTTCTTCACAAACTAAATAAATCTAGGAGGTCGAAGAACCCAACAATGCTACGAACAAACTGCTGAATGATGCTTTAATGCTTTTCCATTCACACCATACAATCAATGGTCCAATGAAAATTGATGCTTAAAAACACACCCCACCTCTCCAAAGAAGGCATGTATAAACAAGAAACAGCGAAAAATAGTAAACTAAAGCTTGAACGTCAGAAACCCACATAAAAAGGAACACACAACCAACAAGAGTAGTTCTGACAAACAATTCAAAAAGAATTTAATGCACTCAGATGATATTCACTCTTCAATCCCAGATTAGATAGTAAATTTGAAAAGTGAATTGACAAATTCGGGTATAGATAGATTTGAGTGAAGGGGAAAAAACTCAAATAAAGTTACCTGTACATTTCTACATACATCAATCATTCAAAAGATCAAAACCTTAATCAAGACTTTAAAGGGAAAGCCAAAGGCTTATCATGACAACATCAATACTTCCATCTTAACTCCTCTGGATGTGCCCTGTAATTTTGTTACCATAGAGGTTTCTGTAAGTAACAACATTTGTTCAAAAATTACTGCAGGAGAATACCAACATCCATTAACACCACACAAAAATATTCAAGAAAACAAAATCGAAGTCTGTTATAGAAGTCACTCGTGCAAATACCTTTAGCATCACAAACAATTAAGAATAACATGTTGAAACAGATTTGCGCACCAGAAAGGGTATTGGTATTGCTTACATATAATTCAAATAAGATCTTAATGCCCTAGAAATAAAGATGAAAACTCTCTCTTCCTCTTCACCGAAAGAAAACAGATTAAATAATAAAATTGAAGGAGGACATTTAAGAGATTAAGGCATTACAAACAAGAAATCGGGCAAAAGTTTGCTAACAAACTCACTGCAGCAGATTTATGTACGGTATTACTAACAAATAATTCAAATAAGAATTAATACCCTAGAATTAAAGATGAATAATCTCCATCTACAGATGAAATAATAAAATTGAAGGAAGAGATAATAGGAAATTAAGGCAAATTCTCCCTCTCCTTCCCACTAAGAGAATACAAATGAAATAATAAAATTGAAGGAAGAGATATAGAAAATTAAGACATTACAAACAAGAAATCAGATAAAAGTTTCAAACCTGAGGCGCGCATTGTATGTATTTATGCACGGGTTAGGTATATATAGAGATATCAAGTGAGGGAAAGTTGTCCCAACGGCTCTTTATTTTCTAAACGGCTAATTCCAAAGGCCAAGTCAATTTTTTTTTTTTCAAAAAAATACAATTTTAAATGGTGATTTATTATTTCAACCATGCATTATTTAATGAAATAATATTACACGTAAATTGCCCCCAAGACATAGTCCAGTAGTGTAAAGGACAGGAGTGAGGTTATCTCACGCCTTGCTGACAGTCGCAGTGTGGGGGTTCGATTCCTGAAATATGAAATTGGATTCCTTGTAGGTACAGTGTACAGACAGCTCTTGTTCCCTGACCTGTTGGAGTACATTCTGCGATTTACCTCACTCACAAAACTTTAGGGACGGAGCGTTGGGGGCCCTCAAGGTTGGGATTTAACCTTTATATTGCACGTAAATTCAAAATATTTTTTTATTTTTTAATCACATATATTTTTATTAATACACTATTTTAATATGCATTTTTAGTAAAATAATGTCACTCAAATAATGGGCTAAGCCCCATTCGGCTCTCATTTTTGGGAAATGAAAATGGATGGAATAGTGGTTTTTTGAAAAATGAGTGGTTAAAAGAAAAAGAAAAATTTTTAATTTACATGTAATATTATTTTATGAAAGATTATATGACTAAAAATAGGAGAGAGAAAAATGTAATGTAATGTAATTTAATAGGAGCCAAACGGGGCTAAAACTCATATGGTCTGGAAGTTCCTTTAGCCTGTGACCGGATATATTGACCAAAAGTTAAATTTTTCCTAAAATAATTTTTATATCCGTGAACTGCTCTACAATCGAAAGCGCAAAGGACTGCCAAATGTGACACGTGTCTGTCTCTGGTCTCTCTTCCCGGAAAATCTATTCAAATCCATATAAATAGATTAAAATTCCAGTTTATCCTTGCCTTAACCCAGGGTAAAGTACCTTCCTTAATAATTAGGGTTTCCCTTTCGATCACTTCGTATATGTTCAATTTCAACGAGCTAGCCAAAACTATGGGAGGAGGGATGAAGGCGGCGGCGAAGGTAGTGGGATTCACAGTGGCCACCGGGGGGCTCCGAGGTGTCACTGCCGTCGAGAACTACCCGGTCACTTTTTCCGCTCGTAAGGTTGCGTCTTCTTGTCCCGTTTCAGCGAGGGTCTCGTTGGAGGATGACGTGAAACTGAAGTCCTCGCAGTCGCAGGCTGACGTCCAGAGGCCTTGCTCGGAGCTCGATGATTGGGAGTTCGCGGGAGGAGAGGAGGATTTGTTGGTTAGTGCTGACGAGCCCGTGCCAAGGGTTGTATTTGGCGGCCTGCCGACTCTTCAGGAAGCTAAAGAGGCCACTTCTGAACTCACCGTGGCTGTCGAAAAGTATGATTTCTTGAAAATTTTGGACTTCTATGAACTTCTGGTGAAGAAGAAATAATGATAGGAAAGTTTATGAGAACATAGCACTGCTTTAAATTTTTATTTTTTCATTCAGTTTAATTTATCTCTGGGAGCGGATCACAAGTCTTGAAAAGGGGTTTTGGTTTAGTAACCCTAAAAGATTGAGCCAATTGTGTTTCTTGAATTATAACCTCATGTGATGTCCTATAGCATCAACTGAACGGTATTTTAGAGGTCTAATACATTTCTAGATAAAGCACATCCTGCTTTTAAGTTTTTTATTCCTGCTGGCTGTTCTTTTACTGAATTTCTTGAAATTTCAGGGCTTATCTGTCTTCTTCTCATTCTGTTGGCCATGGAGGTTCACATACATCAGATCACGGTTCCACCTTACTTTCTAACTCAAAAGTTCAAGACACCAGGCACACTACTGAGAAATCCGTAGCACCTGCAGTACCAACTCATGCTATTGAAGCATTTAGGTTTCTAAACAACAGCTATGCAGCTCAGGTTTTACGGGTTATCCAACTCGATAAGCTTGAAATGAGATTCATTTACTATTACTACTGAAAGTAGGAAGATAGCATTTTATGTTTGGTAGTTACACAATCGAGGATCTTGGGATATCTTCTTTTATTTATTAGTTCTAAGTCTCCTGATTCATGCAAGCTTGATTTCTGCTGATTCGTTTCTATATGGACCATCTATTATCAAGGAAATATAGACTTCAGGATTTTTTTAATATGCTCTTTCTTTGGGAAAATGATAAATGGGTCACAGGGTGATGGAAGTAACGTTGTCTTTTCACTTCTTGCTATGTATTTAACGGAATTTTACAGAAGCAAAAACCTCTTTTCTACTTTCTAGTATCATCAGTAAGTACCTAAAGGAAAAAGAGGGGGGTGGGGGGGTGGGGTTAGAACTATAATCAAGTCCATTGTTTATGAGGATGGTTTCTAAAGGTGGCGACTTTTCACTTGGAGTGCTTACATTGTATATGTCTTTAGAATATCATATTGATCTTTATTTACCCTTTTTAAATCGATTTTTTGAGTTAAACATAAGGTGGTTGTAGTTTGAGGCTTTAATTGGGTATTGTTTAATCTGATTTTGGACCTCCTTCCCCCTGGAAACTTTGTTATAGATAGATTAGATTCTAAACACATGAATGTTTTGCTGATTTTGCAACAGCATTATGAAATATGTGATTATGATATCTAAGTCTGATGCTCTGGCAGAATGTTGTTGCCTCAATTGCTTCTGATCCAAATGTATGGAATGCTGTATTACGAAATCAAGAGCTTCAGCAGTTTCTGCAGTCACAGAAGACCTGTAAGAACCCGTGTTTGTGTCTGCAATTCATCCACCGACTGTACGACAGATATATGCAATGCATTTTTGTTATATTTTGTCTGCAGGTTTTGCCACGTCGGGTATGAATTTAGATGTCAAGGAATCAGTTGCCGAAAATGATCTACACGACCACTCATTCCAGGAGTGCGATGATAGACCATCCGACTCAGGTCATTCCAAGTCAGGAAATGGATTTCAGGATATTATGCAGAAGATCAAGCTTGCTGTGGTTGATATGATGAATAGCTTGTCAGGTTTCTTCCAAAATTTCTTCAGAGGCCAGGCAGCCAATAAAGTATCTATGAATGATGATGGAACTGCAAGATTAAACGGTGTAGAGACTGTTTTGGAAGCATCATTCATGGGATTGGCAGTCATGGCAATAATAGTAATTTTACTGAAGCGAGGTTAGTTGTCGTTATTTGCAAGAATTAGTCGAAGCTACATGCAGTATGATGAAATCATGCTTTTCCTTCTCTTTTTCCTAGTTTGTTACTGAACACTATTTTGAAATACTTGTAATGCATTGTGCATATATATATATATAGAGAGAGAGAGAGAGGGTCTGTTTTTACTTTTTTTTTTTTTTTCTCCTAGTTTCTTTGCAACTTCCATGCCTTTATATATTTATGTTAAAAAGGGGCTGATTATCCATAAATTACTGGATATAGTTCTTATGGTAAAGTCTGGACTAGTCTTTTATCATTGACTATTGGTCTCGTAATTTGTGCATACATCAATTTTGTGACATGCAAGTGTAACTGTACATTTGAAAAGAATATTTTTCAGAAAGGGTAAAGTGGTCGTTATTCATGGCAAAATGGCCATTTTGACAGTGTGGAAGCTCTCCTAATTTTCTATATATATATATATGTATTTTTTTTTATTTTTTTTTTAATAATAATTGCCCCTGGTAAAATAGTTACTTGGATGGAGTGAATCTATCATATGACCAAAAAGTTGACAAAGCTGTTTGCAATCAAGTAACGAGCCTATGGGGGGAACAATTTTTAAAGGAAAATGCTGTGTGTACATAATAGTGTACACATAGCATTACACCCCCCTCACATGAAGAGGGGTCTACACGCGATAAAATATTCGTGGCCTCCCCTGCATGTGAGAGGGATGTAATGCACTGTGTACACTCATAGTGTACACATAGCATTTCCCATTTTTTTAAATTATATTGAGGCCAAAATAGCAATTATATCAGTCAAACTTGTGAAATAGTAAATTACTTATTTGTTATTTCTTACCAAGTAACTTCTGAATTTGAAAATTTCGCTTACAATCAACCAAACATTTTAAACCATAAACCAATTCACTTATCATCTCTTATATCGTAAAAACCTTTGACACAATTTTTACATTTTAAACACAATCATGAAGTATGATCCTTTTTAGGTAGATGACAAGTGCACTTCAAGTAAATCAAGAAAACTCGAAACATTTCTGCAAAATCAAAGACCAAGAAAATCAACAAATGCATCTCCATATATTACTCATAATTAAAAAAGTTAACTATAAATTGAGATATGCACACAAATATGTCAATCGTACTTTTATTATTTGCTTGTCTGATTCGAAGGGATTACATAAACTGAATCGGTGCATCAAAAAGACTGGCACATGGGGACAAGTCCAAAGAAAATCAGCTTAATAAGATACATTTGAGTTGAAAATGGGGATAGGGAAGGCAGCATTACGGGGAAATTTCATTATCATAAGCAAGCCGCAATAGAACTTATTCTCATCAGCGAACTCGGTATTCTTTAATGTAATCAGTAGTGAGAAGACGAGTTAAATAAATAGAAGGATTGAGCTTGCCATTCACAACAAGGGAATTTGGTGCTGTTAGTCCCATTTGGATGCCGTTCTTGAAACTGAGCGGTCAAACACCATTTCTTATGAATGTAATGTCTTCCTTCGACAACTGCATCTTCCCTCTATCTCGTATACTGCTAGTTCTTGGTTGATCTGGTTGCCCCCGCTGCAAGAAAAGACATATTATGTCCATATCAATATTGCAAAATACAAATCCCTTTTAACTGCAGCTATTCGTTTGCACTTGGATAAAACGAGACTGGTGAATCAGTATGGTTAAGATTGACTTGCTAACAATTTTCATTTTAATACCGCCCAAGAACAGTATTGCATAGTGCAGAATACCTTCACCGCGCCTTAAAATGGCACTTAATGGTTAAACCATACCAATATAGAAAATCACATATTTTGAACACAAACGTGTAAATACAAGAAACCAACTTCTCTTTAATGAAATCTTCTAGAACAAGAAAAGCATGTGTAGAAAAGAACAAATATTCGTAAAACATTTGGGCAAAATATTCCACTGAACTTATTTATTAAGAAGTATGAATTTTCACCTTCCTCAAAACGAAGGTCAAATATAAGTAGGCTGCCTCCCATTCATCTGGTGACAGAGTACCTGAACATTTACAAGTGAAATTTCAAACCAATCGATTAAGTGATTAATAAATAAGACATTTGGCAATTCCCATAGAAGTAAATCTTGAACATACTCTGGTCTTGGTTACCATCACCCAATGCACCAAGCCTCCGCATGAGCTCAACAAATTCTGGTTTCTTCAAGTATTCATCCACAAACAAATGGAAGTTTTTTACAAAAACCAACTCCAAATCATGCTGCACAGTTCAAAACAGATGTTTTACCAACACGTGATTAAAGCTCACTAGCTAAATCCATGTTTATTTTCACAGTTTGGCTAATATCAAAACTGATCTATTTGTATCTATACAGTTTAAAACTAGATTATGGATAATGCAGTATTCTAATCCTTAAAAGAATAATCAGACATAACCATTCAAGAATAACGAGAAAGGCAGTTTCAAAGAGACGAAAGAATTACTTGATGCACATATGAAATGAGCAACTTAATCAAGAAGCAGAAAATTAATACCTCTTCTGCCAATGATTTGAAGACAGGAAAAGGGACAATCCATTCAGGACAATCAACAGCATCCTACAAGAGAGCCACTTCCATCACTTTTCATGAGGATATTATCGGAAGTGTGAAAATGCAAATCTAAAATAAATATCACGTGTCAAAATAAATGAACACGTGAAGATGAAGGTTCAGATTATAATAATCAAATAGATAAAAACAGTAGAAAGGGCAAAAAGTAGGTACCTCTAGGTGGAAACTGTACTGGATACCAAAAGGACTCGAAGACTTAAATTTCTGAAATAAACCAAAATGGAGAAAATTTTATTAGAAATAGAGAATTTCCAACCGTATGCGAGAAAATCGTTTTTACAGGCATTTTTCTGATATCAAAAATGAAATTTACCTTCTCTGCAAATTCTTCACCAAACCTTATCCAGTACACACTATTACCATATGCCAACCCCTCGGCTACATAGTCCATCAAGCAGATAATAATGAGTAAAATGGTATTAAATACAGAGTAACAAGGAAAAGATTTCGCATAAAACAAAATGCCATGAGGTACCAAAAATGAAGTCATGGATAGTTCATGGGTGTATATCTAGTCGATGAACTCAAAGACAGTAAAATAAGAAGTTAGAAAACTTAATGTTTCTGAAAGATGGTATTAAATACAGAATAAAAAGGAAAAGATTTCGTATAAAACAAAATGCCATGAGGTCCACAGGATTTTGTATCTAACAAAATGCCATGAGGTACCAAAAATGAAGTCATGGATAGTTTATTGGTGTATATCTAGTAGATGAACTCAAAGACAGGAAAACAAGAAGTTAGAAAACTTAATGTTTCTTCACCATTTTGATCAAGTCATCACCACTAGGAATTTTCAATAATCAAGAAGGAAATAAAAAATCATTATAAGTGGAATATTATTATATTTCTCCAGTATTTCTCTCTTCACATCCTTTACTAGAGTAGTCACGAGTTGAATCAGTAACTAAAGAAACTGGAAAGTGATGTGGTGAATATCATCATCAGAAGCATGTAGATCTTTCACCAAGGAGCCTAAAAGAGTAATATATGTATGCAATCATGTACATATGGTTGTGTGTGGTATTGCATATAAGTATGTACATGTGTGTGTAACTATATTTCATATATCTTTGAATACATACGTAATGTATATATGTATGTATTGTTCGATCTAAGGAAAAGGAAATAAAGAGGATGAAAATCGCCATGTCATCTCTTTATGTGTCAGAAAATAAAATATAAAAGTCTTCCGTTAAGACAATTTATATAATATATATTGTTTTGTTAAAAGAATATGAGAACAATGAGGGTCATTACCACCAAGACACCTCTTCATGCAACTAAAAAGAAGAATGCCTAAAGTGCCCCGTACTGTGACAATAGTTTACATTTACATTTAGTGACAAACACCATGCTGAGAAGCATAGCTTCAAAAGGGGTAATAAACAAGCAAGTTTTCACCAATACATTTTCAATTTCCAGTGAACTCCAAAAGCAGATATGAAAACAGCTGAGGAAAAAACCTTCTCTAAGCTTTTTAATGATAACATTGGAATCTGGCATAGTTCCAATAAAGATGCCTCCTGGTCGAAGTAAAGCCGATACATTAGCCAATGCCCGCCTCGCACGTGCCTCAGTAGACCATGAATAATGCAGGGCAAACTGCAAAATTTCAGGTTTTGACGTTTAATATCAAAATTTAAAAAACTCAAATAATTGTTAACCATTTGCAACATTACAGAGAAACTTTATTTCTCATCTGTGATATTGACAAAAGAGTTTGAACAAGGACATAATCTGAGAGACGTATCTTCGTCCAAAGGAATCCAAAAACATCGAGGTGCTTTTACCTTAACTGCATATACGACAAGAACCCAAAAGGATAATACAGAAATTTAAAGTTTAAAGCAACAGAGTGACATATAAATTTTTTGAAAAGGTTATGATGCAGTATTCCCAATCTGATAAGAAAATTTTTGAGTGTGTTTGTACAATTGAACCGCTGCAACAAGTAAATTGAAGTCATTGTAGAGAATATAATCTTTCAGTAAAATAAAAGCAGAGATTAGTGAAGAGAGAACGTCAAAAGCTCATTAATAATCTTATCCTGGGTAGCTTTCAAGAAAAGAGAATGACAGAAAACACTTCTATTGTGTCTTTTTCAAATTGCGATAACTTTGGTTTGAGGAACCTAAAGTGCCCACCCACGCACCAAATTTAAGTACTGTTAAAACAGGGACCATTACTTTCACGGAAATGCAAGACTCACCTGGCAGCTACAAATGTCGAAGGGAGCATCATCTGCCAAAGCTCTATCCAAGCGCACCTAAAATCCATCAGAGAAAGATAGAAATTACTTCCACCAGTGCCTAAAGTAACAAGTCAAGGCTAATTTCAGATACTTAAACGTAAGTCAGAATCCATTTGTATACATCATATATAGATGACAAAGCATTTTCATGTTTATGGCTGGCACAGCTAACATAATCACTAATTACCTCAAAACAATCTCCACAAAGGAGTCTAGCAGGAAATGAGAACTTTTTTCGACGCTGATGATGGTCGGCATCACCATTATATCGAGTTCGACAGTCTTCTATCTGTTGTCAGATTGAGCATACTAATTAATATTGAATAAGCTAGTAAACAGAATAATATCACATTTTCAGAAACTTCATGTCTGAAAATTATAATACTAATGGGCAACAATCAATATCATGTCAATTTGAATCCATACGGAATTAATTATCTGAGAAAAATATAAGCTTGCTCTCAATGTTAAGACAGAAAAAGATTTTCAAATGGAGATTAGGGTACAAATGAAGTGGATCGTAATGATCACTAGTTTTGCAACCCGTGGATGGACATCCATGTGAGAGGAAGATGCTTAAAAAATCGTATCGTTGTTCAATTGAGACTTTACAATTACATTTCAGCTACACACAAGCACAAGCCATGATCATTAGTTCAGAAGTATTTGCAGCCCTTTCAAGGTTTCAATAATTATTTGAGTGTATTCTGAGTCAGGATAAGGACATCGATTGAAATGGTTATGGCTATAATCTATAGTTTTGTCTTCTAAGGACTAAAACATGTAAAGGTGACAAATCTCATTATTGTACTTCGTGCATAATGTATAAGAAAGTGCAATCAATAAATAATCCTTAATATTGATCTCCAAATATTATTCATCAGTCGAGAGTTGAAGACTAGCCAATATCATGAATAAAGGATTAGATGACATTTGTGCAACAAAAGCAACTCAAATGTTAACCTTCTTCACATTTTCGGGCATCTTCAAGAATTATCAAGTTAAAACTTGAATTTCAAATAGAAACATATAAACATGCAGAAGATCAAATTCTAACAGCTAATATAAGAAACTATCACTAATCCACATTCTAAGGTATCCTCAACCAATATATCAGATTGAAACTTGTATTTGGGAAAAGGAAAGGCTGAAGCCTTTAATTTGCAAATGATCAAATTCAAATACCTAAAAATATAATACTAATCCACAATCAAGGGTACCTTCAAGAAGTGAATATTAAATTAAAACTTAAATTTGGGAAAGAAAACAGATTTGCAGAAGACCAAATTCTAACACTTAATAATTGAAAACCTCGTAAATCCACAATTGACCAAAAAGTGAAGTTCAATTAAAAATTTTCCAACTCGCGATACACATAGGTGGGTGTAATTCGTTTAACGTGACGACTTGAAAAAAAAAAAAAAAAAAAAAAAAAATTGCAAGAACATAAACAAAGAAAATCGTCACAAATTCTACGATTTTTTCCCTACGATATTTTATTCCCACAGAAGAAAAAAGAATTTGGAGAGTTTTTTTCATACATGAAAGATGGACTTTTGGACGGAAATCGATTGAATTGAAGGAGGGAGAATGATGACTTGAAAAAGTGATAGATGGTAGATTACTTTATATTTTTTTTTATAATATAATAAAAAAACCAAACTACTTTGACTAAACGCATTTCAAAATAGTTGAATGTGAAAACGCATGTGAGAAAAATGAACAGTCCAGTTTTGTGCAAAAAAAGCAGTAATTTCCACTTTCACCAATAGAAAAAAAATTTAAAAATTTAAAAATATAAAAAAAAAAAAGAATTGCTAGAGAACACAATGCACATGACCAGTAGTCAGATCTATGATACCAACAGAACACTAACTTGGTAACTTCTAGGACCATTATCAGCCTTGGAGGTACATTCATGCTATGGAAGAGAACTTGGATATTTTAGAAGATTATGGAAACCAATCTGAAAATGAACGTTCTTAAAACGTGCAAATAAGCATCATTAGGTAGGCATTGGTTGCTTCTAGGTTTCCATAATAACAGAAAGAGTCCTTTTGCTCACACGTATCTCAAACTTTGAGCACTAATACACGACTTGCGTCCACAGCTAAATGTATAAAGAGGGAGACATATAAGGAAAATTTTTAGCTTGAAAACAAAACATGGCTTAATGTTTCCACATATAAATGCAATTGACAATGAAAGGGTAATAGAAGGAAAGTAACTTTACCGAGCCATCTGATATATCAATGCCGACATAATAACTGATCTTTGCTTTATCCCATTTGATAAGATCGCCACCCTGGTGCGCATAAAAATGGATACCAAATTTGCTAATTTACTACATATGCACATAGTAAACACCTAATTATCCAGAGAATTCCACCCATACACTACCTTCCCACAAGCGAGATCAAGAACCGCATCTCCTCTTTTCGCATATAACTGAATTAAAACACTCTTTACCTGTTGACCAGGACAAGCAGTAAGAAACAACCTCTTACAAGAATTAACTGCATTCCATTAATTAATTTGGTCATCAATATACATGAAAACAAAACTGAAAGAGAAAAGATATCAAATCTCAATACATACCCAGTTGTTAAGTTTCTTCATATGAATAATGGGGCTTGCTTCTCGCTCTTCAAGCGTCTGATTGGTCCTTGCGCTGTAATGATCAGCCACCTTCTTTGCAAAAATCTTAGTACTTTCATCCTCCAAAAAATGTACATCCCCTGACCACAACAAATTCTCCTTTCAAATTCACAACACATAGACTTCAACCTCCGGCAACACACCCCCCACCCCCAACACCACAAGAAAAAATGGTGAATTTGACAATTCGAGCTTTAGAATTCATACGGTTTAAGCCCAAGCATGAATCTCCAATACTATAACCGAAAAGTAAAATAAAAGTGAAGTATTTTTCTCGTTTTTCCCCGATTTAATTTTACACCCAGCAATCCATACTTTTCTTAGAATAAGTTCCAGGCTTTTTACTCCATTTAACCTAAATTCCAGTGCAAAACGGAAATTTAGGTATTATAGTTTCTTCAGAAAATATTAAAAAAAAAAAAAACGAATAATACCTTCAGGGTTATATCTGGGTTTGGATTGAGGGGGTCCATGAGAGCCCGATGGGGAAGATTGCTGATAACCTCGTTTCATGTTTATGTATATGTATTTCTACTGAATTATGTGAACTAGTGATTGAGTTCTTGAACAAAGAAATTGCCAAAGTGACTTTCTAGTGAGATTGCAAAAATATATATTTTCTTCTGTTTGCAGAATGGACGAATGGAGATTGGAGGGAAAAAGGGAGATGAGATTGAAACTTCAATTTGTGTATTGCGAATTGTAAACGGACGGGGTGAATGAGTATACATACATTTGCGTGTGTATATTTATATGTAAGTATATACTTGCGTATAGATACACGCGCGTACGGGTTAGGTAATTACTCAATTCCTTTCCTTTCTTCGAGATTTCAATCCATGGTGATATGTTGTTTGATAAGATCGTGTTGTTTAGTTACGTCCAAATTGAGTTAATTCTCCCAATAATCACTAAATTTATGCATATCTTCAATTGTCCAAATTGAGTTAATTCTCCCAATAATCACTAAATTTATGAATGTTCAGTAAAATTTTAAATATTGAGTTTGAATCACTAAACTCACCAAATCACTTGAATTATTTTCATTTCACATATCTAATGAAATTGCTGACTTGGTAGTAAACGGAATGCACAGGTGATGTCTAAATACTGTAACGTGATAAATCACAAAAGAAAATCAGAAAATGATGTTAGGATGGATTGAAATTTAAATTTTTTTGAATGAACTTACATCACAAGAAATCGAGGGTCAGAAGCTATTTTCGTAATATTCACGATAAAAAGTATTAGACACTCAGTGAAATAAAAAAAAAGTTTAGAAGTCCCACATTAAGATATTCTACTAAATTTTTTGGTATTATTTTTTTTTTTTTTTTACCAAATAGAAAATCAATGCTTACCTTAAAAATATATAAACTAAACGAATCACAATAGAATTAAGCAAAAATACATATCTACCAATGAACATTTAGAAAAATACTTAATGAGTACTCTTCTAGTAATTTTAACGACCCGTCTTTCCAAACAACTGAAAGTTTTAACAAATAATTTTTTATTATCGATGTAGGTTACTTTATAAATAAATAAGTTTTAACACATATTCTTTTTATTTTCAATATCAAATCTATAGTAAGTTATTTTGATTATAATATCTACTTTATGGTCAAAATAAGTATTTTTTTTATAAGTATGAATTAGCAATGAATGAAAATATACGTTAATTTAGAAAAAATACGTAGTGTCTCTAACTATTAGAATAAGTAATTTACTTTTAGATCTAATCAATACAATTTATCTGTAATAAAATTTACTTAATAATTATAAGTAAATTTTAGTCAAATATGCATTAAATAAAATATCTAATTTGATAATAAAATATTCACATTTCATGAATATCTTGAAAAGAGTAATTAATAATTGTAGTATCTTTAATACAATTTGAATAATTGAGCATTGGACTTGGATTGAGATTTAAATTAAAGTTGGACTAATGCTAACATCTTGGCCACAATTCTAAAATATTTCTTAGAAAATTTTGTGGGCTGGCCCAACAATGCTCCCCACTACCTTCGCCTCAGCATAAGACCTACTTGTTACGTAAGAAAGATTTTCTTGATTACTCATTATACTTTGAAATGTGTATTTTAATTGTTCACTATATTTTAAGGTGATTGAGTTTTGCCAATAAACTTTTAAACAGGTGCCATGAAAATTTAAGAATAGTGTAGCATTCTCTTTTTACAGGAGAATGAATGGCTTATGGTTCATTTTATGTGCAAAGACAACATCAGTCTATATGACAATTGCATAATATTAAATGATAAATTCGTTTAAATGAAATTTCACATGATTTATTTAATTAAATCTATCAATTGTGGTCACATAAATTGCAGTTGGATAGAATTATTTTTTATGTAATTATCATTAAAAAAATTTGTTGCCTAATTTAACTTTCGTGAAAAGATTTTTTTTTTTTTATATATATTTGTTATTTTGTTTTCATTTGCCATGAATATATTAATTTTATTCAAGCATGCAAGAATACAAATAAAATTAGTGTGATACTTAAAAATTTAAAAAAAAAAATAAAAAAAGTTGATAGAGCACGTAACTTTCAAATTCTAGCACTTATAATTCATGTGCAAAGACAAATAAAGTGTTACTTCATGTCACTTTTTAATTAATTTAAAACAAAGCTTAAATTCTTATTTATATTTAAAGTTGCACAAAACACACATTTATGCATATCTTTAATTAAACAAAAAAAAAATTCAAATGAGATAATATGAGATTTTCTTTTAAAAAAAAAAAAGTGACGGAATATTAATTTTAAATTTTAACACATTAATTCATATTCAAAAGACAAATAAAGTGATACATTATTTCACTTTTTAATGAAAGCAAATTTGAATTCATGTTTATGTTTAAATTTCTACAACACACATGTACGTATCTCTTTAAACGATTAAAAAAATCTAAACGAGATAGTTTGCGACTTCTTAACAAAAGTGATAGAGCATTTTTCTTTTCGCTTTCTTATATTTGTATTTACATTTCCACAAAATACTTTGCACGTATCACTTGAATTGATCCAAAATTAATTTTGCGCATATACTAACTCAAAATCATTAATCTAAAGATGAATTTTTGTATATACTAGAACAAAAAAAGCCCAACGGAATCGAAATTCATAATTAAAAAATTCGTGACTAGTTAAAAAGTGGACATTAATAAGTAGTTATTATTATTTACCTATAATTACTTTCCTTTCATCGAATAATCATAAAATTTATAATCTACCTCTCAACAATCAAATATAATACGAACTAATTGAATTAAAATTTACAGATAACAAACTTGTAGATTCATGTTATTATTTGCGGACTTGGAGAAGAAAATACAAAATATCATTTGAAGGAAGCTAGCTAAAGGAGTCATTGATATCGCATTAGTTTGCGCAATATTTCATATTCTAATTTCGATTTTTGTTGATTTGATGGTGTAGATTTCGATTTTCTCATCGTGTTTCCATCTCTTTTTTACTTTTGATTTGTTTATAACGTATTAATTACGTTGTTAATGATAAAAGTTATTGCATTTATATTTTATAATAATTTTTATACTATTTTTTCAAGATGATCATGAAATTAAGGGTGTTTGTGTAAGTTAACTAAAGTAAAAATAAAATATTCGCATTGTAATTGGGCCCACTATAATGGGCCACCTGGGTCCTTTAAGAAATAATAGGCCTATTGGGCTTCCTTACCCATAATGGCTAGGGCTACGTAAACCCTAACAAAATTCCAATTACCCAATCCCGTTCAGTTCTTCGACGGCACTTTTCCACTTCGGCCGTCCCCTACCTCTCTGATCCACACACAGCACACACACAAATGGGTCGTGTGATCCGGGCACAGCGTAAGGGAGCAGGATCCATTTTCAAGTCTCATACCCACCACCGGAAAGGTCCGGCCAGATTCCGTACCCTCGACTTCGGCGAACGCAATGGCTACCTGAAGGGGGTGGTGACTGAAATCATTCACGACCCAGGCCGTGGCGCCCCCCTGGCTCGCGTTACCTTCCGCCACCCCTTCCGGTACAAACACCAGAAGGAGCTTTTCGTCGCCGCCGAAGGAATCTACACCGGTCAGTTTATTTACTGCGGGAAGAAGGCCAACCTTGTGGTCGGAAATGTGTTGCCGCTCAGATCTATTCCTGAAGGTGCCGTCATTTGCAACGTGGAGCACCATGTTGGTGATCGTGGCGTTTTTGCTAGGGCCTCTGGAGATTACGCTATCGTTATCTCGCACAACCCAGATAATGGAACGTCTAGGTATAATTCCTATTCACGACTTAGATTCGTGTTTAATATTATTATCACTGAAAATTGGTGGTTTGGTTTTATTATATGATTTAATCTGATTTTTCTGTCTCAGTTTGTATTGTAAAGTTACTAACATCACATGAGCTTTTGTTTAATGGTCGTAAGGATTAAAATTTTTTAGCGCGCTTGTTCGATGACCATGAAATTTTTTTGTTACTTAGGTTATGGGTTTATGCTTGGTAATAGTGAGATGCGAGCACATTTAATTGTTTTACAAATCCATACGCATTCATTTGTTAGGTTTCAGTAGTTGATTGATTCAATAGAAATGAAATTCTAGAGTAAAATTATCAGCATTGTTTCAATGGAAGCAATAATTGGATATCATATTCATGGAATATGATTCACTTTCAAGATTCCTTGGTGGTGAAATGGTAGACAAGTGAGACTCAAAATTTCGTGCTAAAGAGTGTGGAGGTTCAAGTCCTTAACATTGAGAATGCTCATTGAATGAATAATTCAATAAGAGAGCTCGGATTGAATCGGTATATCTACAATGATTTGATCCGTCTTCATTGTAGTTTCGTATCTGCTAGAATTAGAAATGTTAGTTTTTGTAGTTAATCAACACTACCCTCTTTCCAGTTTATAAAATCCACAGTTCTCAATCGGAGAAAGGTATTAATAAATGCAGTTTAAATGAAATGTGACACTTCTCTCATTCATTCTTGCTTAGCTGCATACTTTTTAAATATGTCTAATTTGTTTCATAATTTTTTGATTATGCATTAAGAAATTAGTAATTTTTCTCCATGCATGAAATTGCTTAACCTGTTGTCCATTGTTTTGTGGACCATCTCCACTAAATTGTCAAAATTTTCCTGTCCGATCTGCATCTTTTTCGTTCAACTTCATTTTTCAAAATCGTTATGCCGAAGATATATTTAAGAAAACAATCTATAGTATGGATCGATTATCATTCAGTGTCTTTACAAATTATTGTTGTTGACAGGGTTAAGCTCCCATCAGGAGCCAAAAAGATTGTGCCCAGTGGGTGCCGTGCCATGATTGGCCAGGTTGCTGGAGGAGGTCGTACTGAGAAACCACTTTTGAAGGCCGGGAATGCTTATCACAAGTTCAGGGTCAAGAGGAACAGCTGGCCCAAGGTTCGTGGTGTTGCTATGAATCCAGTGGAGCATCCCCATGGTGGTGGTAACCATCAACATATTGGTCATGCCAGTACCGTACGTCGTGATGCACCACCTGGACAAAAGGTTGGTCTCATTGCTGCCAGGAGGACTGGACGGCTTCGTGGTCAAGCTGCTGCTACTGCCTCTAAAGCTGATAAAAGTTAAGGGATGCCGATTTTAATTTTATTACTGTTTTTTCTTTTTGTTGCGTCTGGATTAGATACTACTACTTAAATTGCAACATTTTTGTCGTAACCACATGATAGATTTTGTTGGTCTTTTTTTCGTACTGAGCCTTGTTTTAGAGATATCCTAATTTGGACGAAGTTAGGTTTTTCATTTGATGTTATCATCCGTATAGCAGGATTCAACTTGAGTTCCACGATTAATATTTCGAAAAGTCAAGTTCGATAATTATTGTGAAATTGTCCGTTGAAGCATTTGAACGACAATTTGGGATGCCAAATTATCAGACAGACACTTTATACTGATGAACTGTTGTGAAATTAATGTTCTTCATGATATATACTTTTAACCTATCATAAACATCTACAAAACAGTTGTATTATGACCAAACTTCCAAGTTCCAACCTTCCTTTGTTGTCATCAAGGAAGAAGAAGAAAAAAAAAGCCTTCAGATTTTCGTTACAAATACAGATATTATTATTATGCTAACAATAACGAGCTTATGATAACCATACTTCACGTTACATTGTTGGAACAAGCACTAAGCAATGGAAACCACATTTTCGTTAATAAATATAAGAAATTTGATTATTTTGTCAAATTTACTCCTCCAACTGGAACAAATGAACCAATCATTCCATCTGGATGGGTGATGATAATGATGACGACGACAATTGTTGTCGAAAGTATAAATAACGGGACTGGAAGGATCATGATGAAGACTCATAGCCGTTAAATGCTAGTGCAACACCTGTAGCTATGTTTCATCCTTCAACAAATCTCATTCCCATGGAAAACTTTGAGAAGGATCGGTCAGATCACATGTGGAAAGTAAAAAATCCAAATACTAGAAAAGCTGATGGATCAATTGATAAAATTTCTCCAACAGAAACAGTGTTGAACTGGCAATCTGAAAATGCCATGAGACAGAATTCACTCCTCAAGAGGATTGATGAAAGTCAGCAAAGGATTGAAATGACGCTTGAGCAACAAGCTGCTACATTAACTTCCCCCATTGAAGCCTGTAAACAAATAATAAAGACGGTTCACAATGAAATCATAACCCTTCTAGCCAAACGACTCTCATTTGATGACCAAAAAAAGGAAATCAAGCAGTTAAAAAATCAATTGACTGACAATGACATGGAATCCCAAGCCTTTTTCCCTTCCAGCACAAATTGGCCTTCCTCCTCATTAATACAATTATCAACATATAACCTAGCCACATCAGAAAAAACACCAAACTATGGAAATACCTCTTTGTTCACCCCCGAAGAATATGAAAGAAAAATAAGACCACCCAAAGTTACAAGGAGACAACCACAGAAACCATCAGAACCCACAAACAATTTTTCCCAAAAACCATTGCAAATGATGATAAAAAAAATCCCATTTAATCCTTCTTAGAAAAATGTAAAATCCAAAACCCAACCACACCGTAGCCTTCACCCATTTTCATAACCAATGAATCCAGCTCTGAGTCCTATGAATCTTCTTCTAATGAAGATTACAATCCTTTATATATAGCCGATGAAGCACAAAGGGGTCCAAAAGTTGAAGAATCATTTGGTGGAACACACTATAGGCAATATGAAGATGAAGATTTGCCAGACATAGAAGAAGGCTAGACAGTTACAAATAATTACTATCCCCAACATAGTAATCTATCCGTCAAGTTCACCCTTGATGACATACCACCTTCTCAATGGAAATCAAGGTTATAAGAGATGTTGGCATGGGGTACTGTAGAACTAACAAAACCTGATATGATGCATAATATGGTCATCAGAGGAGTCCTGGCTAGGCTTACTGGTCTCATGAAAGAATGGTTCATATCCCTTGGAAACTATAGACAAAGGCAATGGGCAAAGATCTTGACAACTTCTTTGATAGCCTACACTGGGAGTTTTGTGGAAAACCAGATCATGCAAAAGAAAAGGCTCGTGAAGAATTCTTCCAACTAAAATATTGTTCCTACAAGCCAAAAAATTTGGACAAATATTTTAAAGAAATCATGAAACGATACTACATCCTTGGAGGAATTGATGATACTAATCTCAAACAGGCATATCTTGAATCTCTTCGACAACACCTTGGTCAAGAAACCTGTAGAATGATGGAGCTCAAAGGACAGGCATCATCTAAAACGTCCATTGAAAAACTTCACAATTGGGTATTAAAAATCCTGAAAAAACTCTGCAACCAAAGGGAATTCTTCAGAGACTTCAACATAAATGGGAAGCAATTTGGCAAAGCCTGTGATCAGCCAAATTTGAAAATCAAATGTGGCATGCCAAAAAGGAATGTGGATGCTCAAAGCCCAAAAAATTCAGAAGCAGACGTTTCAAGAAAAGGAAAAACTTTTCCAAGTTTTCTCCCAAAAAGAGATTTTTCACAAAAAAGTTTTCTCCAAGGAAAGGAAATAGATATTTTACTTGTGGCAAAAAAGGTCATTTTACAAAAAAATTGTTCCAGGAAGAAAAAATAAGCAAGATTTAGAATCATTATTTTCAAAGGAAGAACAACAGTCACCAGAAACTCTCTTTGCTCTTGAATATCATGATGATACTCAAAGTCATGACAATACTGAAATCAGTGATGAAAGTGTGCAAGAATGTTTTGGAATGCAGGTGATGAACCTTTCCCTAGTGGTATCAATGATTGAAATTAAGCTTTTTTTGGGAAAGTATGAAAGACCCATTACTGTTGCAGCATTACTTGATACAAGAGCGGCATCCTCAATTTTTAACCTAACCATACTCCTAGAAAATATGTGGAAACCCTATCAAAAGATCTTTCAAGCTGCCAATAATGAATATTTTTCCATGGAATTTATTAGTAAACCAGAAACCCACCAATTCTTCCCTGAACTAAATATTTCCCACAAACTACTTGGATCATCATAACTAGGAAAAGATCTTGTCATTGGCTTTGATGTTATCAAATAGTTATGGGAAAGTCGAGTCAGGCCTCTTTCGAATGGACTCAAATTCAAATCCTATTTTATCCCTTACATTGAACCAATCACTTATTTTACCCTTACGATACCAACCATAATAAAAACTCTTATAAGAGATTGTTGTGCATAATCTCATATAGAATTTCTTACCAAATGCACAAAGCCTTTTTGGAAAAACCCAGACTTCTTTATAACGTTACCCTTTAAATGAAATGAGGATGTCAATCCAACAAAAGAAAGTCACACAGAAATGAGTCCTGAACATTTAGAGTTTGCAACAAAGGAATTGACTCAATTACAATTAGAAAGGCTCATAGAACCCACTGCATCACAATAGGCGTGCCAAGCATTCTATGTTAACAAAAGAAGTGAGCAAATCAGAGGAAAATTAAGACTTGTCATTGATTATAAGCCATTGAATAATTTTCTTGTAGATGATAAGTTTCCTCTCCCAGACAAAAAAATCATATTTGCAAACCTGGTAAAAGCAAAAATCTTTTCTAAATTCGATCTGAAAGCAGGTTTCTGGCAACTAGGTGTTAAACCAGAAGAAAGGCACAAGACAACATTCTGTATACCCAATCAACATTTTCAGCGGACAGTTATGCCTTTTGGTCTTAAAACGGCACCTTCCTTATTTCAAAAGGCAATGATAAAAATCTTTCTGCCACTAATAAAAACAACATTGATTTATATTGATGATATTCTGTTGTTCTCTGAAAATAAGGAATTCATGAGTTACTACTCAGAGGTTCACAGAAATTGTTACAAAATACGGAATCATGTTGTCACAAAAAAATATGATCATTGCAATTCCTGAAATTGATTTTCTTGGAATGCATATCAAAAATGGTTGTTATTCACTTTAGCCACACATTGCTCAGGAGCTTCTCAAATTTCCTGATGAAAATTTGACGAAACAACAGGTTCAACAATTTCTTAGTGTAGTAACCTATATGACTGATTTTTTCAAATAGTTGGCCCCTGTTATACGACCTCTACAGGAAATGCTAAAGAAAAATCCTCAGCAATTGTCATGCAAGCAAACTCAGGCTATCAAAATGATCAAACAAGAAGCCCATAATCTTCCAGCACTAAAAATTCCAATTGATGAAAAAAGAATTCTACAAACAGATGCAAGTGATTTTATATTGGGGGCAGTACTTCTAGAAGAAAAGAATATGTGGCTACAAGAATAGTATGTTCAAAGAATCAGAGAAACATTACCATTCTACATTCAAAGAAATTCTTGCTGTAAAATGAGGAATTGAGAAATTCTAGTTCTACCTCATTGGTCACAAATTTTTGATAGAAATGGACGTGAAGGCATTTCCTCAAATGCTGAATTTCAAAAAGAAGCAGATTCCAAATTCACAGCTTTTAAGATGGGGGGAATGATTTTCCAACTTTTACTTTGAGGTCAAACATATCAAAGGCAAACACAACTTTCTACCCGATTTACTCTCCAGAACAAAACCTTCTATCCAACCACAAATCCCTACCATCTGCATGATGAATTCATCCTCACAAAATCCTCCCATCCAGAACTTTCCTCTCCAACTCCAAACTCTCATCAGAAACAAAACCATCCACTCAAGATCGAAGGAACTCATGCTAAAGCATCAATCTATTGTTATCAGGCAAAATGGAATCTATATTTTTTGTGGACTTGGTTTTCATCTAGAATATCCATTTTTAAACCTCTTTTATTTTAATCCAGAACAAATTCAAGAAAAATTTTCAAAATAACTTTTGTGTTTTCTATGGTATTTTCTTGAGACACATCAAATTGTAATATGTTTCAATGCTGATATCATGGTTTCATGGCTTTCAGAAAAAACTTCACAACTCTGGAAAGATTATCCAGGATTCATTTCTCACCCAAACGATGAAGTTGTAAGATTTTTTGAATGGTTTTATCCTCTCTCACATTGGAGAGAAAAATTTCGAAATTTTTATCTAAAATTCAAAGATCTTAGAACTTCGTCTATCAATGTCCATGTTATACTTGTATTTCAAAGACAAGGTTATTTCACTGAATCAGGGCATTATAAACATCTCTCTCATGTTCAAGAATATGCGGTTCAACCGTTCAACCTCCACAAAAAAAATGGGAAAGATATCCTCAAGAATTCAAAACATTCTAGACAAAAATAGCAGAAATAAATCAAACAATTCCTCCAAAATTTTAGCCTAAGATTGAAGATGATGTTTCATGGGAAACTCTTCCAATGGAATATACACAAAGAACCCAACAGGACATCCAGGTGCA